ACATATAGTATTACATAGCAAAATAACCTAATGTTATCAGCATCCTAATGGTTTCCCTTCAATGTTTAAGCACATAAACACTAGCAGTGCAGAAGTCGAAAGAAAAAAGGTAGAGTCAGAGAGAAATTATTTAAGCCAACCCTTTTAATCAGTGCTGCAATATATTTTTGGCAGCAAAGACAGATGGAATGTTAGCTCATAAAAGAAATAAGCTGAAAAACACTAATCCCACATTCAGAAGGGTAGTGTAGCTTAAAAAAAAAGGCATTTGACACTTGGTGTGTAAGTTCTAAGCTCTTAATAAACTTTGTGCTTACCCAGAAAAAGAGGAGAGTTCTTAAAAACACTCAACAATCAAAGTCTGTGCTCAAGACATCTCTCAGAACCTCTAATTACTGAGCTCTATGAGAATTTTTACATGTCTTGTGGAAGAAATAAAAGAATACTGTTCCTAAATACAAAATCACATCACATTCACAAACCAAATAATAAGCAAGTCACTTCAGGCACATTTTGTGCCGTTATCTCCAGAAACAATTATTTGGTTAAAAAAAAAAAAAAGGAAAAAAGAAAAAAAAAGGTTAATGTATTCAAATGAGGTAATTACTAGAACCCTTGTTCTCTAATATTCAGAGACCAGTTTTGCTGATAGCATATAATTCAATTATTTATTGCATTAGCTGCTAATCACTAACTTGACTTCTAACAAAGGAACACAGTCTATGCAAAATTATAGTCAACTGACGATAAACCAGTTGGTATAGAATAGTTTCTATAAAAATGTGTATCACATCATCTACCTGAATTGATATCTGGATCTTGTCCTTCTAGCAAACTCTCAAGTCTCCTACTTGTTAGTTCCAGAAGAGTTAAAGGAGTCTGAAAATAGAACCCAACGAAGGAAAAATTACAAAAGCAATATTTCTGTATTTTGATAATCTAAAGCTATCAGATGACCAATTAAAAAAACCCCCACATTTAACTGCAGAAGAATCTATGCCTACATTTTTTGAGGTACACATTCAAAATCTCTCATACAATTAGACTAAAACACATAGTTTCACTAAGATACATATGTTTATTTCTGGTATTCTGGCCAAAGAAATAGGAAGCAAAAAGCTCTAGACATTGTTTTACAGTGATATGTCAAAAACTGTGGTGTACAACAAACTGACTCTCAACTCTCAACTGCAGATGTGAAAGAGCAAACTACCATCCCCCTCTGCTGTCATTCCCAATCAGGAATCAAAGCCCTAACATTTATGTCAGAACTTTTGATACAAGAGTATCAAGAGAAAGAAAAAAAGAATTAAAAAAAAAGGGGGGTGGGCTGTGTGTTAACACATACAAAACTCTCACTAGCCACTCAATACTATCAAACTAAACTGAAGCTAATTTTAAAAAAAGTTAAATCTCCTAAGTCCCTTGACCCAACGCTAGAATTGGAAATAAATATGTTGTACAAGCATTAAACCCAATATTTTACTGAAACCAAATCAATGTTTCTGTGAAGCTTATTTGTGTAGAGTATATGGGAAAGTTCCATCTTTTCATGTTTGTGACAATATAATGGAAGATAAATAAAAGAGATTATAAAACATGTCTGTATATTTACAGAGCTGATCAAGTTTAATAGAAGGGTCATTTAATTTTGTGGTTCTATTTATTAATTTACAAGTTAACATTTCAAAATACCAAAGGAACTTTCGAGCTGTCAGAGCTGTACACGTGCGCTGGAGCACCAGAGCACACCATCTTATATACAACTCAGAGTATGTCAGCGAGGTTCTAAAAGAGAAAGATACTAAGATGCCTAAAGAATTAGGAGGTAGCCATTACAAAAAAGGTGCCAAAAGGCCTCTACAAAACACTGATACTTTAAATATTTTCTGAATGCAAATGATGCATATAAACAGAAAGGATATAATTTATAAAGGATTGCAAAGCTTTCAAAAATCTGTCCTTCGTAGTCTAGAATAGCTTCTCACCCTGCTTGGCTGTACTGTTAAACTGTAACAGATGGAACATTAAGCACTGATCCTCAGACCTGTCCTACTTGAAAAAAAAGGCAGTTCATGGCATTTAACATTTAAATGGCAATGATATAAGGAAAATGATACCTTGAAGAGCTCAGAGTGATTGTCCATCAGAAACTGAGTCAGCAGTTCTGCCTGTGGTTTTGACAGTGTTCTATTTTGCAAGATGAACTTTGTGCAAGTCTTGATGATCACCAATCTGTTCTCAAACTA